TCCCATCATTTGGTGATCAGGCAACTCAGTAAATGTGAGTGATTTTCAAAGCTGCCTAGATCCTTGTCAAATACCCTGGTGCCAGGATTGCTTCCACTTTAAAAATTGCTGAAGTAAAATAAATTAATTTCATTTAATTTCCTTCCCCAGTGATCTTGCTGGTTTATTTGGCTCCGAAGTCCACCCACCCACCCAGGAAGAACAGCCACAGTACCAAGGATTATCCCCAGCTCTTCACAGGGGTCTGTGCCTTTGCACCCTCTCCCACCAACCTGGCCCTTCCATAGCCATGGAGGTTATCAACTCAATGTGAACCAACCTCAGCTACCCCTTCAAATATGATTGTCCTCACACCTCCCATTGGGTCTTAAGATTTAGAGCTGAAGGAGACTTTAGCTAGTTCAACGCCCTCCTCACAGAGAGGGAAAGTCATTTGCCCAAGGTCACACAGCCAGTAAGTGACTGAGATTGTTTTCAAAGCAAAGTTCTTCGTCTCCAAATACAGTGTTCACAACTGTTCTGAGAGGTCATTAATTAATTTTCAATAACAAGTATTTATATAGCACTTTAAGGCTTGTAAAGCACTTTATATATGTTGACTCATTTGAACCCTGGGATCTCCATTCTATAGTTGAGGGGAAACTGAGGCTGAAAGAGGTTAAGTGACTTTCCCAGGGTCAAGTAGCTGCTAAGTCTCAGGGTGGATTTGAACTTAGGTGTTCTTGACTCCAGGTCCAGTGCTCTGTGCACTATGCCACCACCTAGCTGCCTGCCATTGTCACTGATAAAGGAGTAAACCTAGGCTCAAGGAGGCAAGTCCCTTATTTGAGGTCACATAACTGGTGAGGAATCTGGGACTTGAACCCAGAGCTCGTGTTTCCCAGGACAGAGCTCCTTCCATTTCATCAAAGCTACCTCTCCTAAGAATCTCCAACTGACTGGTTCAGCGCTTGACACTTGACAGACCTTCAAAATTCATTATCTCCCTTGGTTAGTCCCTATAGGGAATCAATTATTATACCCATCGACAGGCGAGGAAACTGAGGCTCAAAGTAGTCATCCATTTTCTGCTTGAGTCTTCTAGCACCAAATAACTCACTACCTGGCAACAAGGCAGACCATTCATTCCTAAATAATTCTGATTTTTACAAGTTCTTAATTATCCTGAACCCAAATCTACTTCCTTGTAACTTCACTGCATTGGTAATGCACTCCCCTTTCAGACCTCATAGCATGCTTTGTTTTGTATTTCTCTGAAGCATCTCTTACATAATACTGCACAGCACAGTTATAATGGTGGGTCTTTTGCCTCTAGTAATTGGCGGCTCTTTGACAGCAGGGACTCTACCTTAATCATCTTTGAATCTCTCCAACATCTACTTAACAAAGAGCTCTGCACATGCACGTGTTTAATAAATATTTGTTGTCATGCTCTGAATGAATTGGTCTTACTTCTACCTTCTGGGGCCAAGCAGAACAATGGCATCCTTTCACCTACCTGAAGGCAGCCATCATAATGCTGGAGATTTAAGTCAGGAAGAAATCTCTGGGGCCAGCTAGGCCAATCTTTCACATTTTACAGGTGAGGGAACTGAGGCCCAGTGAGATTATGTGTCTTGCCCAAGGTCATAAAAACAACAAGCATTAGAAGTAAGATTTGAACCCAGGTCAGTTGTCTGTATCGTTTCTGCTGTGTCTTCTCTTTTCCAGGCTAAACATCCTGGTTCCTTCTATTGATCATGAATATGGTCTAGGTTTCAACCCTCTTGCCATTCTGGTTGCCTTCCTCTGGATGTTATCAAGCTTGTCAATGTCCCTCTTACAATATGGTGCCAAGGATACAGATAATGCCAGCTTGGGCTTGTTGTCTGCTTTGACCAGCATGTATGTGTTCTCTCTCACCCTCTCTCTGTCCCTCCCTCTCTGTCCCTCTCTCCCTCCCTCCTCCCTCTCTCTCTCACTCTCTCTCTCTCTCTGTCCCTCTGTCCCTCTCCTCTCTCTCTCTCTCTCTCTCTCTCTCTCTCTCTCTCTCTCTCTCTCTCTCTCTCCCTCCCTCCCTCTCTCCCTCTCTCTCTCCCCCTCCTTCTCTCTCCCTCTCTCTCTCTCTCCCTCCCTCCTCTCCTCTCCTCTCCCTTCCTTCTTCTCTTCTCTCTCTCTCTCTTCTTCTCTCTCTCTCTCTTCTCTCTCTTCTCTCTCCCTCCTCCCCCTCCCTCTCTCTCCCCCCTCCTCTCTCTCTCCCTCCTCTCTCCCCCTCCCTCTCTCTCTCCCTCTCTCTTCTCTCCTTCTCCTCCCCCCCCCTCTCTTCCTCCCTCTCTCTCTCTCTCTCTCTCCCTCTCTCTCCTCTCCTCTCTCCCTCTCTTCTCTCTTCTCTCTCTCTCTCTCTCTCTCTCTCTCTCTCTCTCTCTCTCTCTCTCTTCCTCCTCCCTCCTTCCCCCCTCCCTTCTCTCTCCCCCTCCTTCTCTCTCCCTCTCTCTCCTTCCTCCCCCTCTCTCTCCCTCCTCCTCTCTCTCCTCTCTCTCTCTTGCTCTCTCTCCCTCCCTCTCTCTCTCTCTTCTTGCTCTCTCTCCCTCCCTCCTCTCTCTCTCTCTCTTCCTCCCTCCCTCCCTCCCCCCTCCCTTCTCTCTCCCCCCTCTCCTTCTCTCTCCCTCTCTCTCCTTTCTCCCCTCTCCCTCCCTCCTCTCTCTCTCTCTCTTCTTGCTCTCTCTCCCTCCCCTCCTCTCTCTTCCTCCTCCCTCCCTCCCCCCTTCTCTCTCCCCCCCTCTTCTCTCTCTCTCCCCTCCTCTCTCCCCCCTCTCCTTCTCTCTCCCTCTCTCTCTTCCTCTCCTCCCTCCTCCCTCCTCTCTCTCTCTCTCTCTCTCTCCTCTCTCTCTCTCTCTCTCTCTCTCTCTCCCTCCTCTCTCTCTCTCTCTCTCTCTCTCTCCTCTCTCTCTCTCTCTCTCTCTCCTCTCCTCTCTCCTTCTCTCCTCTCTCTCTTCTCTCTCTCTCTCTCTCTCTCTCTCCCTCTCTCTCTCTCTCTCTCTCTCTCTCTCTTCCTCTCTCCTCCCTCCCCCCTCTCCTTCTCTCTCCCCTCTCTTTCTCTCTCCCCTCTCTCTCCCCCTCTCTCTTCTCTCTCCCTCTCTCTCTCCTTCCTCTTCCCCTCTCTCCCCCCCTCCCTCTCTCTCTCTCTCTGTCTCTCTCTCATTCTCCCTCTCTTCTTGTTGCTCTCTGTCTCTGTCTTCCTCTTACACACACCTTATGTTCACTCAGAAGCAGACGTGCACACAGTATATATACATATACATACCCAGTCCCCATGCATGTAGTTATTCTCACAGTCTACATTCTCAGTGTATGAGTGAATTCACAAGTACTATATATACACATATTGTAAGTACACATAGAGATGGAGAGGAGTGAAACACCTATACGTACACATTGGTGCTTCTGGCTCCCAGTCGCCTCCCCAGTCCTCCCCTTCCTTTGCACCTGTCACTCTTCCTGGCCCACTTTCTCCTCTTCCATTTCCCTGGGCTGACTGTTTGGAAGAAGCTGCCTGATCATTACCTGTCAATTGCGCTGGCCCAGAGAGAGCCGGGAATTACCACTCCCAGAAACAAGATGACTCCTCGTGCCCTCTTGCGTCCCACCCCGTGAAATACAACTCCCTGAATTCCCCTGGAGGAACAGAGCTCATCCCTGACCCCTGCTCCTGGGCCCTTTAGTAACAGGCAGTAGATACACAGAAAGAGAGCACGCCTCAGGGCTGCACGGGAGAGACCAATGGAGAGAAGGCCTTCCCTCCCCTCTGCCCCAGGCCCCGAACCTCTTGTTTCCAAGGTGGCAGAGGGCCACAGAAAGTGCCAGAGCAGAATTGCCATGTTAGAACAGAAGGCAACCTGGAGCTAGCTTAGTATGGGGGTGGCCTCCCAAGAATTTCAATATCTAACACACAAAGCATTGCAGCTTCATCTGGAGGAGTTTCCCCTCCAAGGAAGGACCAATGAGAAATGCAAAGAGGTAGGCATCCCCTTCTGATAAACCCTGGACATTAGACTGCGTGTCCAATTCACTGCATCAGCACTTATTTATGTTTCTGTACGTTGGTTTGTCTAAGTATGTGTGTATCTGCTCTACTTTTAGTTGTGCATCCCATATCCAGCTCTGAGTGTCTATCAGTCTATACCTTTCTATGGACATGAGTCTGCGTGTCTTTTTGCATATGTAAGTGGCTACTTTGTGCTTATATGTGTATGTGTATCTGTCTCAGTTTGTTTCAGTTTAGGAAAGAGTTATTTCCAGGTCTCCCTGACCCCCACCCAACTTTACAATCATCTCCAGTTTACACAGTAGCATATATCTTATAGGTACATGGTTATTTGCACATTGTCTTCCTCATTAGAATATAAGCTCCCTATATGTTTTTTTTGCCTCTCTTTGTATCATAACTGCTTCACACAGTGCCCAGCACACAGTAAGAGCTTAATAAGTGCTTGTTCTGTTTCCATCTCTCTCCCCTCTCTGATTCTGTCTCTCTGAATCTGTCTCAGTCCATGAGTATGTGTGACTGTATGTCTCTTTGAGTCTTGGTATATGTCTGTCTGTGTGTACGTGATCTCTGAGTGCCTCTGGACATGAGACTCAGCCTCTCTGTGTCATGATGTATCTCAAGTGTGTCTGTGATGTGACTGAGTCGATGGGGGTGTGTGTGTGTTTGGACATCTACACTTACCCATTATTTTCTCTCAGCAGCAAATGATCCCCCGAATGGCCCTCAAACAGGAGCAAAGAGCTGTGGCTGCATTTGGAAGTCTGAATAGCCTTACCCAGTCCAAGGGCTCTGGCAGGCTCCCCTCACGTCCCAAGGAATGAAAGCCCTCCCAGAACCTGCCAACCACTGCCCAGGAAGCCAGAGCCACAAACAGAATATTCCTTCCCAGACAGGCAGACCAGGCTTCGAGAGACATATGTGCTGAGAGACACACAGAGAAACCAAGCCCCACATGCAGACTCTCCTCACCTACCTATGGGCGAGAGCTCAGCCACACTGCCAATGTAGGGGCCCTGCAGGAAGCGAGGTTCACTGTCATTGATGTCCTGGACTTTGATGATAAACTCTGACTCCGGTTCCAGGAGCTGGTCTGTGGCCCTATCCCGCGCCTGGGCCCGAAGCGTGTAGAAGGTCTTCTGCTCCCGGTCGAGCCGCTCCATGGCATGAATGTCACCGGTCAATTCGTCAATCAGGAAGATTGTCCCGGCCCCTTCCCCAGAGATGGTGTATTTGATAGAGCCATCACCTTCATCAGAATCAGAATGGATCTGCAGAGAGGGAAAGGAAACGCTAGGTGTAAGGGAAGGAGGAAGGGGGGTCAAAAAGGAGACAGAGTAGTGTCCAACTCTTTGTGACCCCATTTGGGGTTATCTTGGCACAGATACTAGAGAGGTTTGCCATTTCCTTCTAGAGCTCATTTTACAAATGAGGAAACTGAGGCCAACAGTGTTAAGTGACTTGCCCAGGGTCTCACATCTAGTAAGTGTCTGAGGCCACCATGAAGGTAATAATCCCCTTACACTGACTGGTACATCTACTCAAACGTTGTCTCATTTGGGCAGCTAGGTGGCACAGTGGGTAGAGCGCCAGGCCTGGAGGCAGGCAGACTCACGTTCCTGAGTGCAAATCTGACACAACTGAACAACACAGTCTCATTTGATAACTTATTAGACCGTAAGCTCTTTGAGAGCCGGGTGGGGGTCATATTTTGTCATAGACCAGCACCACTTTACAGTTGCTTGGTGTTTTAAGTTCTCATTGAAGACCCTATAAGAGGTGACATGACTCACCCGATACGACACAGCAAGTACGCAGAAAAATTGGAGCTCAAACCTAGGCCATCCAACCAGCCCTGCCCACTGAACCACCCTGCTTTTTGTGGCTGGTAATAGCTAGCACTTACTCATCTGGCACTATGTTTGCAAAGCACCATATACCTAGATATGCTCCCCCCACACACACCCAATCTCATTTCATCTTCACAACACCGGTAGATAGGTTACATTATTATCTGTGTTTTACAGATGAGGAAAATGAAGTAGACAGAGGTTAAGGCTGTCCAGGGTCACATATCTAGTAAAATGTTGATGCAGAATTGGAACCCAGTCTTTCTGACTCCAACTCCAGCATTCTATCCACTAGGCCTCTTAAAATGACTGCTTCAGATGTGTCATGTATCCCCCATGCCAAGCATAGGGTCTTGCATATACTAAGTGCTTTCACTGTTGAATCCCTCCCATCGTCTAAACCTCAATTCTAATGCTGCCTCTCCAGGAAGCCTTCCCTGATCTCCCCAGCCAAATTATTTTCAAGGCATTTTGTTCACACCTATGTGTTACACGCAGCACGTATTACTGTACATTAGGGGCAAAGTTTTTTGATAGGTTTCATATTCCCCTACTGGACTGAAAATAGTGGTAGCTAAACAGTCCATTGGATAGAGCACTTGGACCTGGAATTAGAATAACCTGAGCGTATCCTCCGACACTAGTAAATGTCCCTGGGCAAGTCATTTAATCTCAGTCTGTCTCACTTTCCTCATCTGTAAAATGGGGATAATAATAATAACTACTTCCCAGGTAAGGCTCAAATGAAATAATATTTGTAAAACACTGCACAAAACCTTAAAGTGCTATACAAATGTTAACTATATCATTATTGTTATTATTATTGTTGTTGTCATTCTTAAATTCCACTAACACAGAGACCACACCTTGTCTAAATTTTGCATCTCCTCCAGCACTTAGCAAAGGGCTCTGGACGCAGTAGTGGATAATAAATATTTGTTGAATAAATTTAAACCACCTCACAAAAGCCCTGCCCTTTCTCTAAACCACTGCAAAAGATTCCTAAAAGGTTTCTGTGCCTCTGCTCATTCCCTCCCCCAATCCATGCTTCAAATACTAGCAGATTCATGTTTCTTGTGCATAGATATGGTCTTATCACTCTTCTATTCAAACTGTTTCCCTCCCCCCCTTCTTCCTGCTTAGTGAGTAAAAGTCCAGCTTCCTCAATCAGCCAATCAACAAACATTTCCTAAGAACTTCCTTTGTGCCAGGCAGGTGTCAAGTGTGGTGAATACAAAGAAAACAGTCCCTGCCCTCAAGGAGCTTACACTTTCTACAATTGAGTGTCCTACTTTTCCTTTCTTTTTTTTTTTAAATTTATGTTTGCATACACTTATAATCTGTCCCTCTCACATCCCTCCCCCAACCTGAACAACAGCAATTAAACCCTAACCATAAGCATGCTGTAGTCTAGAAAAACAAAACACACACACACACACACACACACACACACACACACACACACACAGAGTTTGCCTCAGTTTACTCATGTATAAAATAAGCTGGAGAAGGAAATGACCAACCACTCCAGTATCTTTGCTAAGAAAACCCCAAATGGAATTATGAAGAGTCACACATGACTGAAAATGACCGAACAACAAGAAGAAGAAGAAGCAGGGCCTAGTAAACTCCCTGGCAAAGGAGGGCTAAATTAACCTTTAGTGCATATACATAGCCTAGAGCTATGAACCACTAAACTGTCCAGGCAGATAAAAAAGGTCAGCCGAAACCCCAAGTTTGTCCCTTTTGATTTTTTCCCCCTGGTTCTGACTCAAAGTCCTTGATATCAACTAACTACCTGACTTGTGGTTAGAAAATCTGAATTTTTGATTGTCTTTGTTCATAAAACCCATTTCCAAGACTCTATCCAGTAAAATCCTACAAGACTTGTGTAGGGCCTGGGGGACACAAGGGTCTTCTTTGTTCTTATTGACTGGCATATAGTAATCCTTCTCTATCCTTTAAATGCCACCAAACACACGGCAGCATGTAGAGAGAAGGGCATTGGGTTTGGACTTAGAAGTACCTCCTCTGCTCCTCCATCTAGCATCTACACTGGGCAATGACCTTCTCTCACCCCATTTTTTACACTTCAAATCTCGAACAGTACTTCCTACCTCTCTAAAGTTCACGTATCTTGTGGTGTGGTTTTTTGTCAAATTCGTCTACTGAGCTCTAAGTCACATAAGTGGGACACACTTGTTCTCTGTGGCTCCACAAGAAATATTGGAGAAACAGAATGGAAAAATGAAGAGTCAGAGGATTTAAAGTGAAAGGACCTGGGTTCAAATCCCAGTTCTGCTACTTGGGACCTGCATACTTGGGTAAATTACTTAGGCTCTCTGAGCCTCAGTTTCCCCATCTACAAAATGATGGGGTTGGACCAGGAGATCAAAGATCATTGATTTAGAATTGGAAGGGACTTTAGAGGCCATTGAGTCTGACATACATGCCCCCATTCTACAGTTGAGGAAACTGAGGCTCGGAGAGACCAAGTGACTTACCCAGGGTCTTGCAACTAGCAAGCATCTAAGATGGGATTTGAGCCCTAGAAGGTCCCTTCTAGTTATAAATCTATCCTTCAGTAAATTAGGACCAAGGAGATAAGTTACAGGGAGGCAAATTTCAGCTTAATATAAAGGAGAATTTTCTAATAACTGGTGCTATCTAAAAATGGAATGAGCTGTCTTATGTAATAGTGAGCCCCCAATCACTGGTGATGTTCAAGCAGAGACTGGATGACTGTCCTGTTAAGGACACAGTGGATTTTTGCTTCAAGTAGAGGTTGGAAAAGATGCTCTCTGTGGTTTCTTCCAACTTTGAGAGTCTGTGCTTCCAAAAGAGGGTTTCTGAGCCTATTCATCTGAGGGATGGTTTGCCACATGCTTTATGCTCATCCTTATCCCCTAAGCCTTTGTTTCTGATGTCTCCATCTCCTCCCCAAACTCTACAATACATAAAGGGAATAGCACTGGATTTAGATTCCAAAACCCTGGGTTCAAATCTTGGCTTTGCCTTTTTACCTGTGTGACCCAGAGCAATTCCCATCTCTGGGAATCAGTTTCATCTCATGTAAAATAAAGGAGCTGAGCATGATAGATTGTGTCTGGATCTCTGGCAGCTCCAAATCTTAGGGTCCTATAAGGCCCAGCTAAATCCCCCCTCCTCCAGGAAGCTTCCAGGACTCTGGTGAAGCTTCCCCCACCACTGTGGCCCACATAATCTCTTACACCTTTGAACTTCTATAGCACTTACTGTCTGTTATCATTCATGCTGATAGTAAATCATTCACACCCTTGTACTGGAACTTAACTGTTTCATGTAAGCCTTATCTCATCCATGGGACTATAAGCTCCTAGAGGGATGTATCTTCTCCTTAAGGAGGCTAAGCCCACAGGAGAGGCTCAATCCTGTGCAGAGAGAGACGCAGAATTGGAATGAATAGAGTATAAGGGATGGGGAGGGAAAGGAGGGTGATAAGGCTGATGCAGCCAACATCATTCCTCTGCCAGGGTTAGAACAAAATATAAGCCTGGGAAGGTGAGAGATTGGGAATTTAGAGGAGGGTCCATATCCCTGGGAAGCCCTTCTAATCTAACTCCCTCATTTTGCAGAGGAGGAAACTGAGGCCCAGAGAAGGGAAAGGAATTCCCCAAGGTCAGTGACAGATGAGGAAGCCATGTGATGTGGTAGAAAGAACTCTAGATTAGGAATCAGGGGACTGGGATTTGAATTCCAGCTCTGTAAATTTACTACCTCAGTAACCTTTTGGAAGGAATGCCCTGCCCTCCCTCTCTCTCTCTCTCACTTGGCCTGATAAATTCCAATAGCTCCTTTGAAGCCCAACTCAAACCACATCTCCCCCATGAATCTTCCCCGATGCCCCAGGCAGAAATGGCCTACTTTACAGTACTCCTGCAATGCACTAACTTACCTGTTTTGCACCCCTCTAATACACTCACCATGTAATGCTGTGTATGTTTTATCGTGCTGCTAGCCTGAGAACTCCCACAGCAGGGAACATGTCTTATCTAAACTCTGCATATCCTTCCAGGGCCAAGCACAGGACTCCGAACATAGTAGGTATTCAATAAATGGCTGTTGAATGTCAGTGTCAAAGGGTCTATGGCTCGACTGCTGACTATTCACTAGGCACCTACTGTGTGCTCAGCCCTGTGGTGACAGTGGGGAGGGGCTGGTAGAAGATAGGAAAGAACAAACTGCCATCCAGGCTCTCAAAGGATATGGTGGGGGGACACAAAATTTACACAGAATAATTATAAAAATGACTGAGGACTGAACTAGGTGGTCTTGGATCTAAGAAATTTAAAGGAGAAAGAGTTTACTTTTGTTTGGGATGGTCAAGGAAAGCTTCATGGGGGAAGGAGGACCTGAGCTGGGCTTTGAAGGATGAACAGGGC